ATTGTCTGATCATCATAAATATTTTTGCTACTAGAAAATTATCTTTCAATACTATTAGAGAATGAGATTGTATACAATGAAACCATTTACTTTTGATACAGGAAAGTCACAATTGCTTACAACCATTCGATCTGAAATCTCATAGCTTAGATGTGTTATAAAGTTTGAATTTTTTTTTTTTGTACTTTAAGTTTGGTCAATAAAATAAATATAGTAACCCAATTTCACATCTAATGATTAAAATTAATTGTGACTATTTTATACCAAAAGTAAATGGCCTCATTAAATATTTTCCCTTGGAGGGAATAGATCTTATTTTGATTGTTTAGAGCCTCGGCCTTATACAAACCTCACTCTTTTGAATTTCAACCCACTACTGGTCAATGCGTCCTCAGGCGGAAAGAAGCCGAAGCGGCCTGTAGCCCAAAGAGTGGGCTTCCATTAAAAAAGAGGCGGCCGATTACGCAGGCGAGAAGAAAGTAAGGAAAAGCGAGGGAGAGCGAGAGAGAGAGAAAATGGAGGGGCGCGAGTGCGATTGTAGGGAAGGGAGAAGGGCCGGCATTCTCGCAGAGTTAAAGTCTCTTAAACAGCAAAAGATTGAGATCGAGAAGCGTATAAACGTCATTGAAACCCAGCTCCATGATGGTGGTCATTTCGCAGAGGAGGAGGGAGTTCGTGATCCTCATCATTCCGCTTCTTGCAATTCCGCCTCTGCTTCTTTGACTCCGCAAGATATATACAGATACAGTCGCCACCTCTTGCTTCCTTCTTTCGGTGTACAAGGTCGCCACTTTTCTCCCTCCATTCTTATTGCCACTTTTCCCTCCGCTTTTTTTTTAATAGAGATCATACATCTGTTTTAGCATTTCGCAATATTTCAGCATTTAATTTTTACAAAATAGTCAAAATTCTTATGTACAAGTCTTACTACATCATTTAAATGGATTGAGTCATTTTAACTGTACTTGTGTTTATTGTTTTTATGATGAAATTATTTGCTGTGGCTTGTGTTAGTCCAATTTTGCATGAGTGACTTCTTTTCGCATTCTTGGGGAGTTTGATTCTTAAATTTTGATGGCCTGATTTTTGTTTATTTATTTCTTTGGGGATAATAATGAAACATTTCCTCAAGCAAGTTGGGTGGACTTTCATGGTCAGCTAACTCTGCTTGGTAAGGTTTATTTCTGATTGTAATTTTATCTTTTCTTACTTCCTATACAGGGCAGTTAAATCTCTTGAAGTCTTCAATTTTGGTGGTTGGAGCTGGAGGATTGGGGTCACCTGCTCTACTATATCTTGCGGCATGTGGTGTTGGTAAGACTTTGAAGCATAAGAGGAATTTATTCACCTCGTCTTTATGTATTAAATCGGCTTCTGCATTCTATTGGATGAAGTTGTCTTAATTCTTGTATGAATGTTATTAATGAGGTTGAAGACATTATATTGTATTGTGTCACACATTCTTTGTGCATATAGTACTACTATTCAGGTCTCTGGCGGTGCATGAACACAAACCTATAAGAGATTTTCTAGTTTCGTAAAATGACCTTTGGCATCCGGATTTTTAAAACTCGGACGAGGTAACTCGGCCATGAACCAAGACGAATTTTGGGCGAGTTAGTTGTACACAATATTTTCAAACTTTAAGTATAATATTTCCGCAAATTCATGTCAGATGTGTTAGGATGGTTTACTGGTTATCACGAATGAGTGAACTCTACTCCAACCAGAGTTCGAATCCCTCCCTTCACACTTTTTTTTCCCACCCGTCAACTTTTTTTTAATGTTGGTGTTCAACTTTTGAAAAGAAAAAATTAACACCTCTCCAGGAATCGAGGTCAAAACCTCTTATAAAGAGCCCCTCTAACGTAAGGTGCACTAACCAGCACGGCGTTTCTTATTTTGTTGATAAAAAAGGCACTTATATTATATATAACTATTATTTTTATTCATTTTCTTTAAAAAAAATGATCCAGACTCGAGCGAGTTACTCGGACTCGCCTGAGTAACTCGCCTCGGCCAGGTCGTGAGTACCTTGGCCAAGTCAATTTTTTTAACACTGTTGGCATCTGTGTAGTGTCGCCTCTCTTGATGGTTGTGGAGACATTTCATGGCTGGTGGACCTGTGTTTTTGATAAACTTCTTTATTAATGGTTTTTTTAGTTGCAGCCTAATGCAAATGGAATTCAAGTTTTGTCCAAGCTTTTTGCATTTGCTGAATTCTATGAATTTTGGAGTTGTTTCTGTTGAGTTATAAGAAACTTTTCGGTTTGGTTAACCTTTTTTTTTTGTCTTTGTAGACTTTCTGCCAATTTGACTATAGTCATGTGATTTCTTACGATTTCGTGTGAACTTGATTTTTCTGATTTGTAAATATGGAAACCAATTTTGAGAGTGAAATTTGATCTCTTTTCTCTATAAGAAATCGGTGGAGAAATATTGGCTATGGTCCTTGTATCATTTCACTTGCAATGTTTCCCTTTGGATAAGGAATTTTGGGTTCATATAGATGGCTCTAACTTTAACACACTGATCCCAACATAGGGAAATATCTTGTGGCGATAGTTGCATCAGTACTTTGCTTCTTAGCTTTGAAGAGCTAGCTGGAGCTTTCTGTCCATATCCTTTTTAAACTCTTAATTAGTCTGCATCCATGATTTTACAGTGTTTGTGCAGTCACTCTGCTTCCGCTAACATCATCATCTCTTTACGATCTATTTTTGATGTTCTAGTTGAGGAGACAGCTACAAACATCGGATAATGTTAAATGTCAGTTACTACTTATTAGGTGTTGGCAGTATCACTTAAGCCTTGACATTACATTGAGGTGCAGTGTCACTGGACAAAGAGCGATGGTCTTCCATGAGATTTATGAATTTTTTTTAATTGAAGGAAAAAATAAGAAATAGCATTAAGCTACCGTGGGAGCCTAAAAAACCTATACACCAAGGGTGAGGGTGATGGAAATGACATCCCTTGAAGGATTCTCTAGCTAAAGAATCTGTGGGTGTGTTTGGATCATGCCTTTTATGCAAAAAATTACATCCAAGGTGCGCAACGACGTTGAGATGAGATTTGCGATGTTTGTTCTTCAAAATGTATTTTTCTTTTTAATGTAATCTGAGTGTTATAGATGTGGTGGATACAGTTGGCATATATTGCATGTTCTGTGACATTATCCAGTGGATGAGGGGGTATGAGTCTCCAAGGTGTCATCTTGACATAAATGGTTAGTGTCCAAGAACTTCTTTCAGTTTGATCAGCATTAGAGTTGGATTCTTGTGAAAGCCAACAGATAAATGTAATCTTTTGCTAGTCCCCTCTTATGGCTTGATAAGTTGTGTTTCTTTAGATTTTCGACTCATTATGTCGTTGCATGCGGTTGTTGTGTTCTTCTTGTGTAGGGCTAGGCTGCAGCCTGGGCTTACTCCAACCACCTAACCCGTGTGTCCTGGCCCAGGCTGCTCAATCCGGCTCATACCCTGCCTGATCCACTAGAGCTTGGCCTGGTTCTATTGCTGCCCAATGACATTAATCAGGCTGCTGTGGCCCGGCCTGAGCCTGGGCATAGTGTTGAGGCCCTTTTCTTAAATTTAAATTGGGCCAATCCAGATCCCAGGCTTGAGCCTGATGATCGGGCTCATGCCCTTTTATTTATGATTTGAATTTTCTTTTAAAATTTAGTAAATTGGGGTAAAATTTAGTAAATTAAGGTGATGTAGTTATCATCTGAGGCGCATAACTTTTCATCCATATCTCCTACCTGGATGCTTCAGGTTGTATTTAGATAGTCTTTCAATTGTTTACGAAGGCTATTTATTCGTTTTGCATAATTTTGCTGTATTAGGCCTCTATAAAGTATAACATGAAAATAATGACGAATTTTGGAGTAATTACTTTTTTTTTTTTTGCATTATTTAATTTTTAAGGGGTAAGGTTGTCATTTACCAGTTTTGGATTTCCTTTTGATTTGGAGAGCACATACGAGTTCTAAATCGGTGGGATTTGCTGATGATGCACATACAAGGTTGTGAGATGGGAGACATGCATGGATAGAGAGATGGGAGCTAGATTATGTTTAGGTTTGCATGGGTAGTTCGAATCCTGAAACCGATGTCGCCTAAGAGCAGGAAATCGATATTTTCATTTGTATTTTATTTATTTATTTATTATATAAAAGTTGATGATGTGAATCCTCTCATGAGTTTTGGTAGCATTTGAATTTCACAGTGTGTTCGTCGCAGAGAAAATTTCGGTGCTTTCTTTTGCGAAAACATGTGTCTTTTTGATGGTTCTCTTGTTGACTGAAGCTTTTGATTTGATCTTTTTAAGGGTTTTGTGGTTGAATTTTTTCTTCTCTCTCTGATCGTTTCTAGGGTTGGGCCAACCCATTGCTAGCTCGTTTAGAGGGATTGGGCTCTTTTCCCAAATTGTTTGGCCGGGCCTGGCCAATGGCCCTAGGGTTCTGGCTTGTTGTGCCTTGGCCCTTGGCCCGAGCACAGCCTGATCAATAACTGGGCCAGGTTCCTTATCCTAGGTCTGGCCTGATGGGCCCGAGTAGCGGGCTCCACCCAATGGTCGAATCTTTTTGTCTTGAGAGATCATATTTGACGTAGCTTGCCATGTGAATGATTAAAAGTGAATCAACAAATTACATGTGTATACACAGATAATGCTTTTAAATGGAGTAACTTCTTCCCACCGTTAGGTGAAAGATTCTCTTGTAAACTTTAATTTTAAGTTCCTTTGTCCTTACATGTTGCTTGTTCTCTTTTATAGGTTGCATTGGTATTGTTGATCATGATGTGGTTGAACTTAATAATCTACATCGACAGGTACTTTATTGATAGTAATTATGGAAATATATTTTTATAATGGTAATTTTGAGAATATTGTTTCATTCTATGAACTTTTTCTCAAGTCCACAACTCCACTTGTTGGTATTCCTGTTCTGGATGAATTTTATGGATATGCTTAGTTGTGTTTTTTCTCTTGAGATTTTGAAATGCACATGGACACAATCCCCGACAGTGCTTGGGAAGCATGCATGCATGTGATCATATGACTTCTAGATAAACTCATTATTGCAAATTGTTTTTTTGCCTGTAACTCAAAAAGAGAGGAGGGAGAATGGAGTGTAGAAGAAAGTGGAGAAGATGGAACCTGTGGCGGCATGTTATTCTTTGAGGGTATGAACTCCTGTGGAGTGATGGGTGTCGTTTTGGCATCCATTGCCCATCATGGGGCTAAAACATATAAGTATGAAAATTAAAGAAACCTGTGGGTGTGGTCCCTCGCTTTAACCCAATTGGTTCATGTCCCACATGCTCTTTTTCCCCCTTCTACTGACATGTATTTTTGCTAATTAGATTGATTGATTAGTTAATTAACATGGGCAGACCACTATATCCAGATATAGATTTTTCAAAATCTAGTTTAGGTTATTTGTTTATTTATCTTAGTTGGCAGATTTCATCACTGAAGTTATTAATTATCTGACTAACACAGTGGGTTGCCAAACCATGTAATGGCCCATAGTGCACCCATGTTCTGGATGGGTACTAAAAAACAATTGTGAAATTTTAAGACGACAAATGCTGCTTCCTTGATTTTCAAAAATGAATTAAAGCTATAAAATTAAGATGCAAATTATGGCTTTCTGCTGTGAAATCCTGACTTTTAGCACCTAAAGATTTTATTCATCCTGATCATTAATAAAAATCAGTCAGATATAAGTCTTGAAAACAATATGCACGATTTTCCTTATGATCTAAGATGCATTAGTTTCGGGTCTTAAAACCTAATTTATTTGCTTTGAAAATTCACAAAAATGTTTTAAATTACAAGCATTTCTTTGTAAAATCTATTTCTTTTGCATTCAAGTATTATTATTATTATTATTATTTTTTTCTAAAAGGACATTCATGATGAGTAATAGCTTGCATGGCATAGTTCTCAGGAAGCTTGCATATGTTTGCATACCGTTGAATTTTTGGAAATGTATATATGTTCTGGTTTTTTTTTTTTCATTTGCACTTGTCACCCTAGTTTCATCCTACCTGAAATATATAAATTAATTAGCCCGTGAAATGCACAATCCCATAACAAGCTTCTTGAATTTAATAAGTTGGATAGTTTCCCTCTCAATAGGCTGCCAATGTTAAACTATGCCAAAACTTTCCATGAAGAGATAGTTTCCCCCTCAATGTTGTCAAAGGATGCGCCCTTGAGAGAAGTTGAGGTTGTGGTTACGATACAAGACAAGAAGTGTATAGCAGCAAAGATATGACGTCCAACCCCCGTGTCACTTGATGTTGGATCTCCAACTCTATGGATGTATAAAGCGTTACAAATGAATTAGGGTTGGTTAGATTACTAGATTACCTTTTATACATGATAAATATTAGGAAAAATAATGTAAATATCCGTTTTATTGTCCGTTATTACTAAAATACCTAAAAATTTTCGTTATTACACATATGTTCGTTTTTTGAACTTCATAACACATTTTTTTTAAAAAGACAAAACTAACCCATTTTTGGTTTTTCAAAAACCGAAATTTTTAAAATTTTTGGTTTTTGAAAATTCGAAATCTCAATGGATTGCAGGCCATCAATGGCTGAGAAGCTTCTGTCTGCAAGTGGTATGGAACGCGCTGAGGGTGAGCATGGGGTTCATGCCAATGATGCAGAGAGACAGTAATTATCACATGGATGTTTCTGGGTTTGATTGTAAGATTTTTAGGTAGAGAAGGTGATCATACAAGTGCTAATGGTGGTTGCGATAATGCCATAAGAGAATCTAGTGTCCCCAAATATTGAAGATCCCGCATCTGACAGTGGAGTTAGTGGCGAAGCTGGTAAAATTAATTAGGTTACAGTTTATTTTTAAGGATAAAATGGCCGGTGATCCTACAATCGGCAATCCCAATAAAAAATTGGGTAGTCTCCAAATTATTAAAGATCCAGCATTGGTAGTGTCGTTACTGGAGTTGCAGATGAAGCTGGTAATAATCATTCAGAAACTAATAATTATAATAGTTTTCGGGCATAATATGATCAATTTCTAATGGGTGTTTTTTTGGGGGCTAAGGATGGCCATTTTTGGTTTTTCAAAAACCAAAATGAGGCCCATTTTGGTTTTTAAAAAATCGAAAATGGATCGTTTCGTCTTTTTTTTAGAAATTGTTATGAAGTTCAAAAAATGGACATATGTATAATAACAAAAAGTTTTAGGTATCTTCGTAATAATAGAAAATAAAATGGATATTTACATAATTTTCCCTAAATATAATGAAGATTGCTCTCATGCATAATGAATATTAAAAAATTACATCCTTGTCCGCAACAATTATTCCTAAAAGCTTTTCACACTGTACATGGAATATGACCATGGATATTTTGGCTCTGAGAAACCAATGTTTGATGGAGGTAAGCGCCTTGGTAAAAATACCTGCCGGTCCATGCTCAATGATGACAAAATGTGCTTCAAGTTCTTGATCCTCGTTTGTTTCTTAAACAAAGTGTTGATCAATCTCTACATGTTTAGTTTTGCTGTGGTTAACATGGTACAACTTGAAGATAACGAATGATTGAGAAATGTTTTGATATAATGTAGTAACAAGATGTCTAATCCAAGACAGTTCTGCTACAATTGCTGCCTTTGAATGTCACTCGGCCTCTGTTACCAGATCGAGCAATAATCTATTGTTCTTGAATACTACAGGACACGAGATTAGGACTTAGTTAGACATAGTACCCTAAAATAGGAATGTTGAGTTCTCTCGCCCAATCAGCATCGAAGAAGGCAACTGCTGCTACAGATGTTGGTGAAGAAAGAGCAAAGTAGGATAAGAAATACTGTGTCCATCATTGGTTGCTTTATATGACAAAACATAGTTAAGGGAACCATGGGGGTACGGTGGCGTTCCTGCTCCAGAACCTCAATCCCACGGTTCCTCCTAGGGATCTCGTAGGGACCCCGGTTTTTCAATTTTGGGATCTCGCTCCCAAATAAAGGGGATCACGTTCCCTTTCCCATCAAACATGGTCCAAGGTTTTGGTACTTTATAATTTTGGGTTCCATATATGTGGAATCTACTTTAAAAAACAGATGAATCCAGTTCCACAATATTCTTACACTTCTCTCTTCGAATTACTACATCTCTCTCTCTCTCCCCCCTTTTATATAAGTGGCAAGTTTTATAACAGAGCAACAAATTCAGTATTAATGCAAGTGGCAAGTTTTATAATAGAGCAACAAATTCAGTATTCATATTCTAATCAAATACCAGATTATCCAATAAAATGTCAAATGAAGACAAAGTAACCAACACACCATTCATCCTAAATCCATATTTATCACATAAATCTTAGAAATTCAATGCATCGAAAACCCATGCAACATTCATGTTTCAATCACACACACAACTCTCTCTCTACTGTGCACACACACAACTCTCTCTACTGCACACACACACAACTCTGTCTCTACTGTCGCACACACACATCTCCCTCTCCCTGTCTCTCTACTATGCACACACTCAACTCTCTCTCTCCCTCTCTCTATTGTGCACACACACTCAACTCTCTCCCTCTCTTATGCACACACAAGAGTTATAGAAATACACAGGGAAAGAGCATAAGCGCACATACCTGAGTGTGGGAGGAGCAACCAGGTTTACAATCACCACAAGCTAATGGCGAAGGATTTGTGTGGGCTGGTTTTGGGCCCAAGGGTTAATATAAAGGGAGGGGGAATTGGGCGGGGAAGAGGGAAGGTCGGGGGGGTGGTACGTGTTGGTGATCTAAGTATGTAGTTGATTAAAATGATAGAAAAAATCCAATTTGTGTACTTGTAGATTATTTTTTGGATTTATGTGTGAAGAATATCTTGGTGGTTCGAGGGACTAGGTTATTAAAGTTATACCTCTAATGGGATTTGGAGTATATATAAAAATGGAGTACATAAGTATACTATGGACTTTCTAATAGAGTGATCTATACTTTTAGCATTTATCTAGTAGTATATAGGCACTTGCTGTATCAAATTTTAGTATTATGCATTTAATTAAATAGGGTATGTCATGCACATTAGATTTTGGACTAAGGACCACAGACTAAGTAGCAAAATAATCCATACGCTTTAGATTTATCAAGCATATAGGCATGTGTTGCATGCAAATATGGTTTGATGCACTTATTTAAACATAGGATGCAATACATATTACATTTTGGACTATGGACCATAGGCTATATGGTAATGTGCCTAAAGTATTTAATATTTCATCAAGTATCATGTATGCATCTAGTAGCATATATGCCTAGAAATAGGGCATTATGGATTTATTTAATTAGAGGTTGTCATACGTTCATATGTGCATATTGGATTTTGAAGCATGGACAATGGACATATACAGTAAAGTGTTCAGTAGTGTTTCGCATTTATCAAGTAGCATGTAAACATGTGATGTATAGAAATGGGCCACTATAGATTTATTTAACTAGAGGATAGCATACATATTAGACTCGTTCCCTTAACCAATGGTAGTTGCGGATCTTGGGGCCAATCAACTGAGGACCTTGATTCCTATACTTGAAGAATCTCAATATTAGAACGAGAGGAACCCCGTTTATGACAAACAGAAATCTCGATCCCTTAACCAAGGGAACCTGTACTAGCTCTACTTGACAACCTCGTTTAATGTGTAATGGAGGTTAGATTCTTGTCAGTCAAAACCTCGAACCCATCGATATGGGATCTTGCTCCCATAAACCTAAGGATCTTGTTCCCTCTCTTGTTCATTGCACGGACACCGATCCCAAACCCAGGGAAC